TGAAACATGGATATAAGAGAGAGAGAGAGAGAGAGAGAGTGGTGTGTACCACTTCTTCGAAGGCTCTCTCAAACTTGCGCTTGGGGCACTTGGCTTTGCAGTTGGGCCAGTCTGCCTGATGGGCACACGGACGGTGAGTCACTCGCAGGTTACGACCATCCAGCCGTCGATCATCTTTCAACCGATGAGTTACACGCGTGGGAGTCTTGATGAGCATCCGCCCGTCCGGCGTCAGGGCATAGTGCCCAACCCTAGACATCTTGCCCAGCATCCACCCCACAAGATCATACACACACACACACACACTCACGAACACACAGCCATTGCTCAACGCAGACAGAAGAAGCCTTGTTGCTGTTGTCTTTAAGATGTGCCCCCCCAAGTTCCAATTTAACGAATTTGCGGCGGGTCTGCTGTGCTGAGGGAGACATGGCAAGAATGTCAGAGCTTGGTTGATGTCACTACCCGCGCCAATAGGAATTTGCCTCGGCCGGGCGGCGGAGCGTTGTAAGGCTTACACAGCGGACCAATGAAAGAGGGCAGGAGACAGATCGTCTCCAACGATCTGTATGTCCTGCACACTGCTGCGCACGCCATGTAGCGAAGAGTGGTACGAGGCTTAGACGTTAAAGACCCTTTTCTCACTCGCACGCGTCTCTTCAAGGCGTCCTGGCGAGACAGAGGACTTCGTGGTGGGATGTCCTCTGGTGGATTGCGGTCCAGTAAAACAATAGCAACAGATGCTTCATAGATCCCCCTGCGACTCTTGGGTGGATTTGTCCACTGCCCGGGGCGGTCTAAGCCGTGAGCTGCATTGACCTATGAAATGCCTCGAAGCCGAGACCAGGACCCCTTCATCGCAGATCTTGTCGTGGGACTCCGCTGCTCAGCTCAGGTAGCCTACGGTTTGAACGGCCGTGTCGTGGGGGGCTGGGATGTTGGAGTATCTTGGAGTCCAGGGCGGCTTCAGGTCCTTTAGAATGATCGTCACATCGGTAAACAGGTCAAACTGGACGCTTAAGCATTTCTGCAGCATTTTGGTCGCAGCATGTGGAGTTGGGTTCACGTCAGTTGCACACCATCTCCCCATCACGTTCACGGGTTCGGCTTCCCTTGTTGTTGCCAAGATCTGCCCCGTTTCATGACTTGGTGTTGCCAGCATCTCACAGAATCTGACTCCTCAAACGTAGAATTGATGCAAAGCTGTAACTTGAGACGGCCAAACAGAAAGTCCAATAACATTGGTTTTCTGGGTTTCCACTTGTCTTTACAATTCACGGAGTTTGACCTGGTTGTGGGAAGTGGTTTGGCGAAACGCTTTTCTGCAATTCTCACCTTACCTCCCTTCCTGGAATGTGTACACATTAACAGCACCAACCATGTATGTGGGGTAGAAACTTTTTTTTTGGCGTGCAGGCCTCGTCGACTGCGGTTGCCGCACTCGGTCCTAACGAAATCTACAAGAAGCAACAGTGAAAAAAAAAGCAACTAATAAACGGTGAAACGAGCGACCAAGCTGGGCCAATGCGTAGCAAGGGAGAGGGGGTCAGCTTTCCTCATCGAGGACGGCAGCAAGAATTTCACAGTGTCTATTCTTGGGGGGGGGGGGTGCGGAGGTGCGGGGCGGTTCAGGTAGGGGGACATATCCGTTTTTCAGACATGGGGCCCTTGTCTGCTCAGGCTCTTAGCTGGGAGGAGAGATGATGAGGAGGTTTCTGATTTCAGACGGAAGCCAGTGTGGAACTGTGAGTGTGTGCAAATGTTTCGTTTTAAGTGCGATCATCCCCACTGATGCTACAGGGCCTCTCCCCCATGGAGGGGGGCGAGCTGACTGCCCGGTCCTCAGGTTTCTCCTCCAAGCGATTGAAATCTCCGTGTGTTTGGGTGTCAAATGTTCCTGGATCAGTGTTGTTGCTGCAGTGAGGCGTCTTGCCTGGTGATAGTCATGCAAGGACTGCCATCCAACTGAGGTGGCGCGCTCTGACAACCTTGGTGCCCGTTATGGAGCCCCGGCAGCCTTAGCAGAATCAACAGAGCGCGATGGGCAAGAGCATGGGCGCATGAAGACAGGGTTAGTGCTGGAGTGTGTGTTGGCAGATATGCAGTTCGATGGACAGTCTTGTGGTTGACCTGCATGAGATCAGTTGGAAGAGCCCTTCCCTGTGCCAAGAAAAGCGCTCGAAAGACAAGAGTCTGTCTGACAAGGAGCGTGAGGCGTGTATAAAGGGGGGTTTGGAGGGAAATTGTGCATGTTGCGGCATGGCCCGCTGACTCCAATGACATGACGTCGCGTTGTTGGCAAGGTAGTGTCAGGACAATTGCAAAGCAAAGCGATATGGACTCAGCGTTGGCTTGGCGACTCCAACGCCAGGCGGCCCTGTACTTCGTCCGGGGCTGTGTTGTCTGTGTGTGGGATGTTGTAGCCGGGGCGTGACGGCTGCTCTTGTTTTCGGTTGAGGCGGAAGAAGCTCTCAAACACTCCGAGGAGGTTGGGGGCCCCAGGCAATGAGCAGCGGTGGCAGGTCGGCAGGATGTAGGAGGCAAAAAGCAGCATGCCAGATCCCTGACACGATCATGGCAAGTTTCAATGTCAGTAGTCTCTTTGTTCTACACTAAAAAGGAAGCTCTTTGGGCAAGGCCATGTCACGGTTCCGTCAGTCCGGGACCGAGCCGGGTGGGGTTGAGGTGCGCTGGAGTTGTCCGTGGAATGGCCAGATGCACGTCACGCACAATCATTCCACGACATGTCGCCGCATACCCTGACTCAGCAGCTTCATGGATGACGTTTCAAAGCCCTTAGCAAGCGGTTTACCCCGCCCCGCTTCATCAAATCCAGAGCGAGGTTCATGCACAAGACCTCTGGGCAAGTCAGCAGACTCTCGGCATGAAACGCTGCGCTCATCCGCAGTGCCAGTACGCCACGGCTTCGGGCGGCTGGGCCGGCGGCTTCTGCTGCAAGCGCTGCTACAAGGTGAGTGAGGGCAATGAGAGATTTGCTTCCTGTTGCGGATCTTCTCAGGCGTGGGAACACGATCGCAAACCAGACCATGGACAGCGCTGTGACCGCATCACTGCGAGCCAGGAGCAGGTTTGCTTTCTTTTTTGCATGGTGGAGAGGGGTAGAGTCCGGGTGGAGAGGGCTCCGCATCTCTGAGAGGACGAGCGGGCGCCGCCCATGCCGCCACCAGGCGAAGCTGCGGGCGAGAAAGCTGTGGCAGCCAAGGCCCAGACAACCAAGCCAGCCACCAGGAAAGCTCCGCCACCCGGGCCAACGGCTCCGTTGTCGTCCCCGACCTCGCTGCCGACCTCCCTGCAGCCAACGGCGCCAGGCGCCCCGCAGGCCAAGGTCAAAGCTGAGCCCAAGGCCAGTGAGCCAAAGGCGCTCCTTGGTTTACACAGACACACACAGAGAGACAGAGACAGAGAGAGAAAGAGAGAGAGAGAGGGAGGGCAAATGAGTGAGTCAGCGAGTCAGTGCGACTCCAAAAAAGCTCAGGACAGGTTTGAGCTCCGGACCGGGAAGCAGGAAGGCCTGATTCTGCACATGCTTTGTTACTCAGTCTTTTCTACGAAGCACATGCACTGTTCTCATGAAATGGCAAGGCGTGTAAGAGAGACAACTAAGCTAAACACGAGGCTTTGGTGTAGTGGCCCCACGCTTTGGTTTTGGCAAAACAGGTAAAGACCCGCCGACAACTCGGTTCCGCTGCCAGGACCAGGTGGGGCGTAGGGCAAGGTGGGATGCAAGGTGGGATGTAAGGTCGGGTGGCGTAGGGTAGGCTCAGTCTGGCCTGCAGTGTTTTGGGCGGAGTCAAGACCTCACTTGGAGCCCTTGGAGGCCTGTGTGTGCAAGACCTGGCCCGGCGCCGTACTGCAGCCCCTGGCAGCTGACCTTGGCGCTTCAGCATCATAAGAATGTTGCGCCTGCCCTTCCGTGGGGGTGTGTGTGTGTGCGCACACAAAGACATATTTGTCTTTACATCTTTTCAAGATCCTTTCCTCCCTCTGAGGCATGAATGTGAATGTGGTGTCGACGGAAGGGCCCAAAGCATGCTGCGAGCAGATCGCCGCCAAGCATCCGGAGGACCGGAAGTTCTCGGGAAGGGAGCGGAAGAAACCTCAGTCGTTGACTTGTGCAGAGGCTGCCAGGCTAGTGGCGGACCTGACAGGCCGGGCCTTGCTGGCTTAGGGCCTCGCGATTGTGGTTTGGAGTAAAGAGTGGCGAGAGACCTTGGAATTCAAGTTGCGCAGCTGTTGCGTGTGGATCCTCAGGTAGCCCAGGCCAGCTCCGCCGAGTCTTCCAGGAGACGGTCCGCATGTGTCTTGGATGCGGGGAGGGGAGTCACATGGACTCATGGACCTCATGCCACGCCATGCCACGCCATGCCACGCCATGCTACGCCATGCTACCCCATGCTCCAGGGTGCCGGGGCCTTGCCTTCCTCAGGCACTTGAAGGCAGAACGGACCGAGGAGTACAAGGCTGCAGAGGTGGACGGCAGCGTGCTCATCAAATACTTATGCCTGGTGAGCGATTTCTTGCTGGACGAGACTTCTGCCGAATTGAGGCGCGAGGTTTCGGGGATACAAGAGCGGCATCATGGCTGTTGCCCCAGCACTCCCAGCACAGCTGCCCCGTCCGAGGCAATCGGCGCTTGGCAAGGCTCTCCATGGAGTGGCGCTGGCTAGGCAGAAGGCCGAGGGTGTTCCGCCACTTGTGGTACATGGGTCCACCTCCACAAAGGAAAGTGCCGAACAGCATCGAGCGTGAGCGCTGCCTTTGTCATGTACGTTATCGTAATGCGCATGGGGCGACGCGCCAGGCCCGGAAAGACTCCATCCTCGCAGCTGCGTCGCCCAGCCGCTGCGTCGCGGCTGCGGCAACTGCGGTGCCTGCGGCGACTGAGCATTAGTCAATGAAGGAGTGCATGATGTGAGAATTAGCGCCGGCATGCCATGTCGGTGACATCCCGAAGATGCGGACGCGGACGAGGCTGATTGCTACAGGTTGAAGGTCCAGAAAACGTAAACAAGCGAACCATGGTTTCATTCCTCATCCTGGCGAACTGCCCAGTCCTGTGGCTCCGTTTATCCCCAAAATGCGGAAGCGAGAAGGAGCAAACAAGCGCCATTTGCAGCCTGCAGCGTAGCATTCAATGTCAGTCGAGTTTTCATGCGACTGGCCATCGGCCACCTCCCAACTGTGATGGCAATCATCTTGACAATATTTAGGGCGCCATTGATGAGGAATTGTGAGTTTGCACCATCCATGCAGAACTGAGTAAATTTTCAGTATTCCCGATGGAGAACTGCATGATGCTCAAGCAGAGGCCGCTCAGCGCAACAGGCCACGTAAGGGTGGAGGTCCACAATTGCTGCACACGCCATGCTCTCGGTGTCGCTTCTGTTCACTTCACTTGCCCTTGCCTCTGCCCTGGAGAACTCGACAGATGCCTCGTGTCTCTTGGCAGCAGCACACCGAAATAAGCAGACCTCAGCAAGGGCCGCCCTCCGCGATCCGAGCGATCCTTCTGGCCCTGTTTCAGAAGACTTTGATGAGATCCAGGAGAATTACACGGACCAGGCCGTTGAAGCGACCCAGGAGAATGAGGAGAATTACATGGACCGGTGGGCGCAGAAATGGATGGAGCAGTCCATGTGGAATTTGGGCAAAGAGTTCCTTGCCCTGATGTTGAAGACTGCCATAACAGGGGTGCTCGGCGATGTCGTCGCTGCTTTTGTCAAAGCCTTTTGGCCACCTCAAGTTCAGAAAGAAAAGAGGATGATGGAGATCATCATGCAGTGGACCAAGAAGTACGTTGATGCACAGTTTGCGGAGAACTTGCGCGAGGAGGTCAGCGCCCTACTGGAGACATCAACGAGAGATCTTCTCCAAGACTTCTACGTGCCATGCATCGAGAAGCTGAAGAAGGAAGCCGAGAAGGCCTGGTGGTTTCCCCAGGATACCTTCGTGCAGTGCCTGGGCCACTTGACACATGGAGCGCTTCCGCCAGCGCTCACAGCCCGAAATCGGGTGTCTGGCAGCAAATGGCGTGGGGGCAACATCCCCACTTACTTGATGGCTGCCAGCGTTGTCATGACCCTGTATCATGAATACTACACGGCAATGGTCTTCCGGGAGACTTGGAAGAGGTCACCTTTCGCAGAGCTTCCAGACGCAGAATCCAACGTGAGTCAGAGTGATGATGCGCTGCAGTGGACGCACACATCTAAGGAGATCATCAAGCTGATGCAGGATCAGTACGACAGGGTTTCCGAAGAATTGGAGGGCATGGTGAAAGAGTGGCAAGCCTGGCGCGCTGACAGGATCTCTTACAAAGAAACGCGGAAGTGTGAGCCGGGGACTCACCGCTCGGGCTACGACTGCTGGTGCGCGATCCAGCTGGAAGACCAGCATCGAGACGGACCGCTGAAGTTCGACACGAAGCCCAAATTGGTTGAAGACTGTTGGCTGGACAAAGAAGGGCGGAAGGAACTCCTCCAAGGGAGGGTGGAGACCATGTACAACCAGAACACCTTCGCTCTGGAGCTGGTCCCGATGCTGCGGACTTTCACGTCCCTCCACCGCCTAATCCCGGGCCGCGAGAAGGAGCCGCTGCTTCCTGGGAGGGTTCTGCCCAAGACCTTGGTCATCGGCACCGTGTCCACATGGCTCACCTTGAGCTGGTCCATGCACGGCGACACCGTGGATCGCTGGTCCTATGCTGACAAGGGCCCCCCTAAACAGGATGGCTCCATTCGCAGGATCCGGAGCCGCGAGGGTACCATCCTGGATCAGCTTATCGTTGAATATGATGACTCATACAGGAAATACAAGACTGTGGAGCTACCTCCGGGAGCCTGAGGAGGCACACAGCAGTCCTGGCAGCACCTGCCCTTCTTCACCTGTGGCATGGAGGTGAGTTACAGCAGTCAGAAAGGCCGTGGTGACAGGATGGCGGAGTTGGCTCTCCTGAACATCAAGAACGAGTCAGCATCCTGGCATGGCAGCGACGCCCGCAAGCCAATACGTGCCCGCTTCACCACTGGACCGGCATTGTGTGGGCTCTACACGCTCCACTTTTTCAAGACCCGCTCGGACGTGAGGCACACTGGTGATGCAATCGAGATTACAATGAAGTGGGAGCCAGTGGATGAGACAGAATTCTGATTCTGATGTGGGCGCCAGGCAGTTGCGTCTGTAGGGACGTCCGCTTCGCTGGAACTGAGTGCAGTCGTTTTTGATTCCGCTACCGTTGGTGTCTTGAGAATGGTAGCGTCTCATACAGCCGTGATGTCACCCCTGGGCATGCACCACTTGCTGGAGCTCAGCCGACATCTTAATATTCGTGCCATACGTGCATTTCGGCGCTAGCCATCTTCCCGCAGTGGGAAATTGCCATACGTGCATTTCGGCGCCAGCCAGATTCCTGCAGCTGGAAAAGGTATAAAAAAAAGGTGCGATGCCGGCGTGTAGGGCGTGTACCCATCTTCGGGATTGCATTTTGAATACTTACCTAAGGGAGAGTGAAGAGCCAGGTCGTGCTGAGTGTTGAGCTGCTCGCCTTAGGCTTGGAGATGAAACTGGCATCGCAGACAGCATCCGTGGCTTGGTTTGCATGTCATTTTGCTTTGCTTTGCCCGGTCTGTCACGGCCCATCTTCACGTGCAAGTGCTGCAGAGGGTTTCGGGGGCTGTGGGTGATGCGCGAAGCTGACGTTCGAAGGACCACTGTCAAGTGGGCAACAAGACAGTCAGTGCAGAGCTATCCCGCAAAGCAAATAGTTCCAGCAATAGTTGTAGTTGTCCAAGTAGTGGGGATGGTGTGCGTGCTGCATCAGTGGTTGTGAAGCTCATAGAAATTACCACTCAACCTTTTGGAGGGAGATTGGCGCACCCGAGTCGTGAAGTTCACAAAAAGTTTCATTCAACTCTGTCAAATAGGGTTTCGCATCAAAGTGCTCATCCAACGTTTTGGAGCAGGATTGGGGCCACCGGAGTCGTGAAGCTCATAAACAAGTTGACGCAAACCTTTGGAAGTCGAAACAGGGTCCGGGTTACTCTGGAGGCTCTCCATCCGCACAAAACCGCTAAACCCAGGCCTAAACAGGGTATTCCAGCACTGTGGAGGCCCCTTGTCTGCGGCAGCGTTTTCGAGCTGTTTTCAATTCCGTAAAACCGGCCCTGCATTTGGGCGGTTATCACCACCTCAAGCCGATCCACATCTCAGTCTTTGAAATTGGCAAGCTTTTCCTAAACTTCCAACCGTTACTCCAAAAAGTCCGAAGATGAACGCAAAAGACAGAAATTGTTTTCGGGCACCGAATTCAATTTCCTCTCGTAGAATAGAAGACAAAACCAAAGCGCAGCAATTAGAGTCGACAAAGACAGAGGCCAGAACACTCTGGAATCTAAGGATGCAAACACACATCTGCACACAATCTGAAATCTTCGAAACCGAGCTTTGCAAACACTNNGCCTGTGCGTTGAAGCCATTTTCTCACTTTTTCAACCCCAGTTTCGAGCTCATGGACGCGGAAGATTGCTGAGGCTGCCCGTGGACATTGTCACAATTTGAGCTTTCACCGGTCCGAAACTGGTTGGTTTTGGGGCACACCCACAGGTGCCGATCGAAACTGGTGGATTCCGAGGCCCACGCCCCATCGCAAAATCTGCTTATCCGGCGTCGGAAGTAGCGACTTGGAGCAGCCGCGGACTAAATTCTGCCGGTTGCATCGCGTGGCCAGCGGCTGACCCAGCACAACTTCTCTCACACTCGCGCGCGGCGCGGCCCGTAGGCCAGTCTGGTCTGCATGCACCTAATTGGCTTACTTTAGGCCCTTCCACATGGTGTGGGCAACCACTAAAAGTGGGCTTCGCTGCGTAGCAGCGGAAAGGGTGAGACTCCGAACTCCTATAGTCCTACCTGCCTAGAAACTACAGGAGTGGGAGCCCCCGTCCTGCAGAGGTGTGGCAACCACAACCCGGTGAAACCCAGGGGAGGCACCTCACCCCGAAGGGGGGGTGTGGAGGCCACTACCCGCCATAAACTGGCGTGCAGGACGCGCGAGGGCACACGAGCTCAACCAGTCCTCCCACAGCCGGCAAGTTTGTAGCCTCGCTCTGCACACAGCCGAAAGAGGAAACCGCAAAACCACTCAAACCCTAACAGTGAGCAAAACTAACGCCTTGGCCTCAGGGAAAGGTGGCACGCAGCCTTGGGGGGACTTCCTACCCCGGGAGAGGCTACCAACTCCCTGTAAGCAAAGGCGGCGTGGTGCTCACTTCCCTTCAGAGGGGAAGGGGAAACCCTACATCTCAGCCTGACCCGCAGGGCAGTGCAGAGCAGATCCTATACAAGACTGAGACGGAAAACAAACAACCGGGTATTTTAGCAAGGGCAGGACCGGGACCGCTTCCTGACATGAGGGAAGCCCCATTCCTGACAGAATACTACAGTCACCAGGCAGCAAAACAGTCACCACCCCCTAAAGCAGCCCCTAGACGTCTGCGCCCTTCGTTAAGCGCAGGGCCAACGCTTCCCCTTTACGAGGCGCAGGGAGACGCCGCCCCTCATCTTCCTATCAGGTGGCGCGGGGCCCACGTGCCTGCAGACGAAATAGGAGCCACTAAAGGGGAGGAGACCTGCACCCCACACATGTGACCGCCAGGTTTGCACTGCCTTG